ACAGCCGTAGCCCCAGCTCTGCCTCTGACGCAGAGCCCTCGTCTGAGCCTTTCCCAGCCTCCAGGACTGGCCCATGTTCCTCCCCAACCTCCTCACTGTCTAACTCTGCTGCCAGCTCAACTGGCTGCTGGTGGACCACAACACATATTCCTTCCTTTATCATTCAATTTTATTACTTTAATGGAAACCTGGAGCTTTATTACTCAGCTGTCTGTGATCTGCCCTTTGCAAAAAGATACGAACAATTTGCCCTGATGGATCAAATCTCATTAAAGTTCTACCTCTGCTGCATGAAGAGGCATTTAAGCTGCATTGGAACCAACCTATTGTCTTCTCCCAATTTTGGAGGATATAATGTCATCCACTTAATTGGCCTGTGGTTGTTTCTATGGAGGGTATTAAAAACTAAATGCCATCCTGGGGTGGAGGTTAGGCCCGGATAATTGTCTGTAAAGATGATATGTATTACCTGCTTTAATTTTGTTGCACTTAAATTAATTACAGATTAAGGGAGAGAAAAGGAGTCTGAAGAAAAGAACACCTGAAGTGATAATTAAGGAATTTTAGTGCTAAATCAAAGACCACTCTTTTAAGCCAATTATTTTTACTGCATTGTGGAGTTCTTATGAACCAGCAATAATTCTTCTAATTTGCCTACTTGAGCATTGGAAATGTAAGTCAAATATAGATCAGGATCCACACTCCAAAGCTTACTACTACCCATAAGTTAGACATTTATAATGCATTTAAAAAAAAAAAATCAACCAACTTTGTGAATGGGTCTTGCTCTAATACTTTTTCTATTCTCAGTTTCAGTATTACTCCCATCAAAATCATATCGATTTGTGGAGAGCCTTTGATTAGAATATTAACATAGTATTTCTGATTTACAGTTCAAGAGTTGAATGTTACGATCTGTCAGGTGCAAGCAACCAGGTACACTGGTGAAAGATTCAAGTCAACTACTTTATTGCCTTCTACCTATATTACAAGATCTCGCCAGACTGCTTGCCTTCCCTTGGGAATAAAGAGATAATATCCCATGGAATCTTGGTGGGTGGCTTCAGGCTTCTTCTCTTGCAGATGCACAAAGACTCAAGGCTAACTCCCCACTTGACTCCTCCTTCCCAAGTAGCTCTATGGGATGGGATGAGCTGTGGTGGTGCAGTAGTTAGAACACACAGTATTGCAGGCTAATTTTGCCGACTACAGCAGTTCAATTCTTACTGTTTTTGATTCTCAATGTTGACTCCTTGAGACTCACTCAAGGAGTCAGTCTTGAGCCTTCCATCCTTCCAAGATCAGTAAAATGAGGGCCCAAATTGTTGGGGGCAATATACTGATTTTGTAAACCATTTAGAGAG